ACCAGCTAGTTGGTGAGAGGTTGTTGTGATACTACGGGGAGCCGTAGTACACACTAGTCAGTGAGAGGTTGTTGTGATAAAGTGGGGAGCTGTAGTACTCACTAGTCAGTGAGAGGTTGTTATGATGCTGCGGGGAGCTGTAGTACTCACTAGTCAGTGAGAGGTTGTTGTGATGTTGCGGAGAGCTGTAGTACTCACTAGTCAGTGAGAGGTTGTTGTGATGTTGCAGGGAGTCGTAGTACTCACTAGTCAGTAGGAGACTATTGTCATGTTGCGGGGAGCCGTAGTACTCACTAGCTATCGAGAGGATGTTGTGATGAGTACTCTCTGGTCAGAGCAAGACGTAGATGAGTTTTAGCCTTGGGTAGCCCTAATATTTGAGTTTTTGGGAGCATGTTGGCCAAACCAGAGGCGAGACTGGGGTCTATATTTTTCGGGAATCGTTATACTCTGATTTGAGTTGTGGTGGTCGCAACCCAAAGGAATTGGAGAAGTGATATACGTGCGGGTTGCGGGTCATGAGTCATGAGTTGAGTGCTTCATTGGGTTGAGTGGTTCCAACTCTGGGTCAGACCAAACTCTCGAGTTAGAGTTTGGCTCTGGTGATGCATTGGGTAGGCGAGATGAGATTCTGGATTCTGATGTAGGTTCCATGTTGAGGGGTATTGTTTATCATCTGAGGACTTAGAGTTGTGCAGGTCAGTACTCGGATACGATAGGTACCGCAAGATTCATGGAATTATAAGCAATAGACGACAGAGGTCAGGGTTGAGTCAATCTCCAGTTGGGAGTGTAGCATTCGCTGGGGAAAGGCGAACTTTGTGACTTGTGCGTCACAATGGGCCGATGTAGTTATCATGAGGAGGAAATCATTGGGACAGTTGGGTTAATGCAATGGATAACCTTGGAGATCCAACTGTGGGGTCGAGATCGGACCTGGTACTCAGTGTTAAAACGGAATATGGGAAATGGGGCTAAGGCGTATGATTTTAGATGACTGAGGACACTTCTAAACGAGCATGATTATTCTCTTGTGTCCGAGGGCAGAGTGTAGGGAATGCGTTTTTCAGGTGGGTTCTTATAGTAGTTCAGTGGATGATCCCTACTTGGATGTGAAGCCTTCCGTTTCTTGGGGTGTGGTTTGGATCGTTACTATGTTTGGATTCAAGTGTCCATAGAAAATATATCAGTGGGATTTGAGGCCTTTTCAGTGGTGCTTTCCAAGCTATAGGTTCGAGCTTGGTATGGATAAAGAGCGATTTCGAGGGCGAAATCAAATCAATTGGGGGAGAATTGTAACATCCCGGAATTCAGTTATAGCTCTTTGATCCTTTTATTTCCTCAAGTGTCAAAATTAGTCCTTGGAAAAAATATAGGGTATTTGAGTGTGTTGAGCATAATAGAGAGTACGTTGCGCGTACTCATGAGCGTGTTCTTAACACGGAATCTAACCAGTACGTTGGGCATACTAGGTTCAGATTGAAACCCTAATTCTAAATGAGCCCCAATTTAAAGAACGTTATAGCCTCATTGTTGGCCACCATTTCTAGAGACTTGTCCATCCAAAACGCTAATCCATGTTCTTGTAGCTAGAGAGTGCCCTTGAGAGCTTGTTGGTGTGTTCTTGAGCCTTAAGAGTGGAAATGAAGCTTTGGAAAAGAAGGAGTAAGAGCTCAAGCACTTGGATCTGAGCTTAGCAGTGTAAGAAGCTTCATTTTGAGGTATAAAGCTTCAAACTTTCTTCATTTTCTGTTATATGTTCTTATATGGGATGTTTTAGGGCTTTTGTCCCAAAAGTTGATGGCTTTATGAGTTGATGAGCTCTAAGAACCTAGATCGGCCCCTTGCTAGTATATTTCGTGTTACAAGGTTATAAAAATCCAATCTTGGCCAATAAGAACTAACCATGCATGGGATATGAGCTTAAAAAAGAAAATGGATGAAGGTTATGAGTGTTTAAAACCAAACCAGCCATGCAAAGGCGCAAAGTCTTCGACTTTATGGACTAGGAGACTGTAGGGGGTTCAAATTTGTATTTTGAGCCAAGGTCTTAACTGATTAAGACCATAAGTGAGAAAATAGTGAAACCAGGACATACGCTGAGCGTAAATCCCAGTACGCGGGGCATAGGGTTCGATCAGCCCGATACCAGTGAAGAGGACGAGTACGTCCAACGTAAGGATCTGGTACGCACAACGTACCCGCAAGCGTTGACTTTCGTTGAATTTTAGGGTTTGGTCAACAAGTGGGAGTTTGGACCATTAGAGGGGTAAAATGGTCTTTTACCCTTTTGTGAGAGCATAGGAAAGGAATAGTCTAGCCTTTGAGAGCCTTTATTAAGTTGAGATATTTTATGTATGTGATCAGGTGGAGGCTAGATCAGTGTTTCGAGTTTGAGATCATTCGAGTTACCCGAGGTGAGTCTTCTCACTATACGTTACCTAGAGTGGTATTTATGTGTGACCGGAAGGTCATATGTGCTTGCTTGAGTTATGCATCTTGTCTATGTGATATTATGCTATGCATTATTATAGACCGGACCGGAAGGTCCAACGATTTATGAGGCCGGAAGGCTCAACCAGACCAGACCAGAGGGTCCAACGAGCTAGACCGGACCTAAGGGTCCAATGAGCTGCAGGATCGAAAGGTCATCATGGGTAGGACCGGAAGGTCTACCAGAGTTGTGGAGCCGAAAGGTCCACTAAGACACATTGACCGAAAGGTTACAACCTAGAGTGGCTAATTTATATGTTTGTCGTATTTTGGGGAACTCACTAAACTTCGTGCTTACCGTGTTATGTTTTTCAGGTTTTTATCAGGATCGCGGAAAGGCGGCGGCTCGATTGTACACACACAAGAGAAAAGAGTCATGAACGAGGATCCTGGATTTGAATAATTACTTTTAAAAACTATTTTGAAAAATGTTACGACGTTGACACTTGTGGTTTTGAGAATTATTTATATGTGGTTATGAGTGTTAAAACGTAAAATTTTGTTTGAAAATTTACGTCGTTACAACCATGCTATGTCATCAGAAGTGATATGTCATGTCGTAATCATGTCGGGTCAGCAGGTAATCGAGTTGGCCGGTCAAGTGGTCAGAATTGTAAAAAATTAAAAACACGATATCAAATTTAAGACTCTAAAAGAACTCAGTATCAAATTATAATTTTAATATAAACTTAAATAACCTTTTAAAATTTAAAGTATCTTATGATAAGTAAAAAACTCGAAAACCTTCTCCCTTAAGCTTTATGTTGCGTAGCTTGCTTGAGAAGCTGACATTGACATCTATTTAATTATTGTTGTAATTACATAAATTGTCCTGTGGTTGACAAAGATATCCGTTTTAGTCCCTTGCATTTTTGTTTTCTTACTATTAATTATTTAAATTGTGATATGAGTACGCATGTAAATTACTAAAATCTAATTTGGCCCATAGGCGAGAGTACGTGGGTATTCAGTCGAGCATTTGTGCGTTTTAACTTTTAACTATGTATATATGGTTTAAATATTCTTCACTAATAAAAATGATATAATCTTATTACTAAAATTTTAGTAATATAAAGCAGTAATTATTAATAAATAGATAATTATCTTTCCTTGTTGAAAATCTTCCAAAAGTGGACCAAAAGAGTGAAAGACTTGACTTTCATTTCCACCGTTAATTAATTCTATAATCAATTAATTGTATCATAAAAAGAGATTGAGTTTCGGATATTATATTTCTGAAAAAGTGTAGGTGGTTCCATTTTAAGCCTAGGAAAATAATCGAATAATATTAATGTTAAATAACACGAGAAATTAAATATCCTCGTATCATTTATTTCTATCAATATTTCTACTTATTAGACGAGAACATGTATCAAAATTTAAAAAAAAAAATTAATAAATTACACATATTATAATTTTATATGAATAAGAAGATGAATAAAAATAAAATATTGAAGAATATTTAATTTTTCTAAACAAAAAAATTAAATAGAACCATTAAAAATAAAAATACGATAACTTTTAGTCATAAAAACATTTTTTAATTCAAATACTAGTCATTAATATAATAAATTTTGTATCGAAATCTAATAATATACACTTCTCTCATTGATAATAATCCTATAATCTATAATTAATTTATTGATAAGTTTGTTAAAAGTTGTATCAGTATCACGTCCGACTATTGAAAAAACTGATTAATTAATTAGTAATAGAATTTACTTTGATGGAAAGATGGAAATATATTTCTAACCTCAATTTCATTACGAGCATTTGAATAGCTAGCTTTTAATCGTTGATGGCTTAAATAACATTCCACATATAAAAGAGTTTCATCCAAAAGCATCATTTTCAAATGTAATTTTTGATGTAAATGCATAGTATTTAAATATAAAGCGTTATTAATTCAAAGTGTGATGTCATATTTGCGGCAACTTGTTAGGCGTTTTAGCCCTTTTCACACGTTCCCATCTAATACTTTGCTTGAGATGAGAATTATACTTGAAGATATGAAAACATATATACAAGGAAGTTAAAAAGTAGGTGTAATTTTGTTATTCATGAATATTCTACAACTACATGCATATATAGAAAACTAACACATAGTTAAGTTAAAGAAACCATGGATGGATAGCTTTGACCATACTCTAGGTTGACACTGCAGCCCTCTCCCTCTATCTACTATATTGCTTCATCTCCACTCTATCCATCTTCCGAATTTTCACTTTAGGGTTTTAGATTCTTTAAAAATTTCTTGAGTAAATTACAAAATTTCACTTTTGGTATTTTCTTGATCTGTAGTTTTCTTTTGGTTGTTTATTTAACTTGTATGGTTGTAAGTGATGCTAAAGAATGGTGTGACCAAATTTGGACAACGATTCTTCATTCATTCATAACCTGTATTCGAAAGTTACCTTCAGGTTAAGCAATATAGTGTTGAGGGGCATTTAGTAATTGTACCCCTTTTTAAGTAGTTCCAAAGACCCATTCTAAGTACTTCTAACACTAAAGGAAAAAAAAAAAAAGGAAAGACACCCTCCACTGCATTAAGATTGTTACGTGTGTGCGTATCCACCTAAACATAAACTCAACTTGGCGTCCAAGCAACCCTAATTCTTTATTCTTTATGTCTACAAAATACCCATTTCATTCCTCCTCGCCAAATAAATAATCAACAAAAGAAACCCATAAAGTCTCCATTTTATTATCTCTCTATATATATATCCAAAAATTCTTGAAGGTGTTTCTTGATGCAAAATTGAGGCTCATAGAAGAAAAAAGTAATAAAGAGGGATTCTATTCTTTACCGATATCAAGAAACGACACCAGGTTCGAGTCTCGCCCATCCTTTAATGGATTAATTGAAAGTATAAAAAGTGGAAGAAGAACATACCCACAAGAAGCTAGAGTTGATTCACAAGTCTTGTATTTAAAAAGTGAAAGAATTTGCTTTCTTGTGGCTCTTTAAATTATTATGTATGTACTCCAACCATTTAGTTAATTATCTATCTTTACTGGGAATATATATTAATCTTTCTTTTTCGATTTTCTTTACTTTGAGGATACACAAGTTACCCAATTTGGAATGAGCATGATATCAGACGAAAACAATAAACATGACATGGTGTAATGATGAAAGCAGTACCCTCCAAAATCTCTCAACTTCTTCAACAGAAAGAAGCACCATTCAATCAAGAAATCCCAATATCATCACAAGTTCTTGCCCTTCTTGTGGACATACGATCCAATTTAAGGCTAAGGTATATCATGTGAAGTTCTTTTTTTATTATTTTCTTGGTGTAAATTTTATTTGTCTTTTAGATAGATTATGAACTGATAATTGATGGTGGTTTGGCAATGATCAGGGGCTGATTCCAGATTTGCCTGGATTACCAGCGGGAGTGAAGTTTGACCCAACAGATCAAGAAATTATTGAGCATTTAAAGGCTAAGGTTGGGTGTGATACAAATGAGCTTCACCCCCTTATTGATGAATTCATTCCAACAATTGAAGGCGAAACTGGGATTTGTTATACTCATCCTGAGAAATTACCTGGTAATCTTTAATATATATTTTTATAACAGCAAACAATAACAATCAGATCCCTACTAACGATGCTAGTGGACTAAAAATATAAATAAAGTCTTACTCTAGAGGTTTTATACACTATTTCTTAGACCTTTCCGATATTTAGATATATACATCTAAGCCAAAGGACACTTTCACTACCCTTAAACATCTTGATTATCATTTAATTGGGATCATATAGTTGACGTATTATATTGTATTAACATATATCTATCTTATTGGTAAGTTAATACCAAACAAATTATGGATCGAATATTATCTGTTTGTGAATACATGCACAAGTTTTTTTAAATGATGTTAAAAAATATTGACCATTAGAAAAGGTGGAGATCTATCATTAGAGAGAATTCTAATTAATGGTCATCTTTGTCAATATTTTTTTTTCAATTAAAAAAAAAGATGGAGATCATAACGAAGAAACAATTCTTATACCATATATCCTTCGAACTCCGTATACGCACCATTCCCCACTTTTTAACCATTAAATTCTCCATATCAAAATTATCGTCCCCAAAACCAGTAATGGTTTTAACAATTCTCACCTTATGAGTCAAAAATCGTCATGATGCCTGAAATTTTTAAATAATCCTAAAGTAAGGAGCATGAAGAACTTGTATTAATTACTTTCCTTGTGATGTGAGCCTATATAGTGATGATGAGATTAAGAATTCCATAAAAGTATTTCAGGATTCAAAACTTATCACATTCAAAATATTTGCTTTCACCTAAAGATAATATGGCTCATTAAAATCTCTTCAATAATATTTTTTTTAGAAGAGCATGATTGGTAGCAAAAAATCTACAAATCCCCAACCGATCAATTTCTTTTTGTGCAATATTTTTTCCCATTTCACTACTGCATATTTCTATCACCTCCCACAACAAAAAAGTATGCATCATCTTCTTTAAATCAATTTTAACAGGAAATTTTGATTATGACAACTAGAGGCGCTAGCAAGTTACAAAAGTATTACAAAGGTTAAGACTTGTACACAGTAACAGCTAGCAGCTTGGAACTCGTTGAGCAGGAAACTATTTCTTTTTAACCACACCATTGACAACTTTGTTGTTTTTGTAACCCCATAAGACCCTCAGGTAAGCTATAGCAGAATTACACAACCAATCATTCTCATTTTAGGCCCGATGTCAAGTTAATAATGAGAGCAAGAAGATTCTCAATATATAGTGCTGAGTTAGATGGAAATATAGGGCCCCACAAGTAGAATGTGACCCATAAGTCCTCGATAGTAACGCAACAGATCAACAAGAGCTGTGTCTCACGTTCTTAGAAGGAGTTGCAAAAGGGATAGGTTAGGGAGGGTAAACGAATGACTATGTGATCCATATTGCAACAAGTTAGAAGGTCCCGAATTCCACCGACATTAACATCTTCATAGCTTCGATTTCCTCACATGCTTTGGATAGTCTCTTCTAAAACTCTCACTGAACTGGTCTCCCGATTACATATATCATTGATATGATTTTGCCGTCTTCAATTTTTTTATGTCCTTCCCAATGGACCAATTGACACCATAAAAAAACTAATAGATCCTCCAACCTTCCAAGAATTTACGTTAAAAGTATCGACCGGCTACCAATCTACAAAGTTTGAACGTTTCAGCTAGATAATTTTATAGAAAACTTCTTTATCAACCAGAGCATGAAAAGATACACACCAAGTTACAACGTTAGTATGTCGTCTTTCATTTTGTATTCAAATTTGATAACATGTTACAACATTAGCCCTTCAACTTTACTTTTATATTCAAAATCTATCTTTTACTTAGGCTTGAATTGTTTCTAACATTCACCTATTATATATAGTTTAAATATCATAATACTACAACCACAAGTATCATAATACGCTAACTACAATTACATGTGACATTGATTACTTTGATTTTATAAAGAGATTAAGATAAATTGTGTGTTAATTTATTAAATTAAATTATTTTAATTTTATTTAAAAAAATAAAGATGAGGAGAAATGAGAGGTGGCGATTTCCTAAGTGTTAAGAAGTGGAGGAAAATGAGATCCCGTTTAGGAGGTAGGGTAAAAGTGAAAGGAGAGGAAAGTGGACCATCCTATCTTATTAACTTTAATTTTGTTAGAGATAATTGTAATTATAAACTGAAATAATAAAACCAAACAAAAACTTTATAATTTAAACTTTTATTTAATTAATTATTAGTACCACATATATATATATATATATATATATATATATATATATATATATATATATATATATATATATATATATATATATATATTTTAAACTATGAGATTTTGAAATATAAGATTTTTATAGTAATTTCAAAATCTTATAATAACATTCCAGATTTTACAGTAAAGTGAGTGATAGGTTAAATTAAGTACTAATTTAAAGGGTTATGTTATAATATGGATTAACAATTATTGTGTAAACGTGTGGATAATGTTATTCTATGATAATTACTAAGAGGATAAGTTTTTTTAGTAATGTGAATACGTTTAACCTCATACGAATAATATCCACATTTTCATGCATTCTCACTAATTCTTATTCATTTTTGTTGTCACACATCGTTTTTCACTCATTTTTATTCTTACAAAATACCACTCTATAAACATTCTGGCAGAATAAAAATAATAATAATAATTCTATAATAACCTTATATACGATTTAATTAGTGAGAATGTGTGATAATGACAATAGTTATATAAGATTGAACGCATTTATATTATCAAACAACATATTTTATTTGTCATTCTCACAGAATATCAATGTTCACACGTCCACATAATAGATGTCAATCCACATTTGAAGCTAGCTCCTAATTTAAATTCTTTATATTAAATAACAATAGAGAAATGTTGTTATATCGTTATTTCTTTTCACTTCGTCGATATTTTTCTTTTTCAACTGTTATTGATGCCCATGCTTTGACATTGATCATCTATTAATGATGCAGGAGTAAGCAATGATGGCCAAATTCGCCATTTCTTTCATCGTCCTTCAAAAGCATACACTACTGGCACACGAAAGAGAAGAAAGGTACATATGGACGCTGAAAGGGGCGAAACAAGGTGGCACAAAACAGGTAAGACCAGGCCAGTCTTAATTTCAGGTTCAGTTGAAGGGTACAAAAAGATACTCGTGCTTTATACAAATTATGGAAGGCAAAAGAAACCAGAGAAAACGAATTGGGTGATGCACCAATACCACCTTGGTAACAATGAGGAAGAGAAAGATGGTGAGATAGTTCTCTCAAAAGTGTTCTATCAAACACAACCAAGGAATTGTGCGTCGAACCTTAAGGAGTCCTCGTTACTTGATGAGAAAACTGAAAGAAACCCTAATGTTAGGAACATGAGCTTCATTGAAAACTATAGCATTTCACCTTTCATACCATATGACATTAATCGAAGGCAACTCAGTAGGGAAATTCCTTCTCACGTCATCCCTAATTTTGTTCTACAAGATGATACATCACCTTTTATTCATCTACCAACTGGATCAAACAAAGAATAAGAGATTATAGGTAAAAATATATATATTGATTCTTTCCTAGTATCCAAACAAGTTAACTTTTGAAAGTCTCATAAAGACCTCATTTATTTTTGGGGATTCAAATTTCAAGTTCATAAGAATGTATAAATTTTACTGCATAAGTTACACTATTGTAGTCATTTTGAATTACGAGAGAGACAAGAAGATGGCTCTTTAATAATAGGGTTTATATAATTTTGGTTTTAAGATTTATATAATTAAAATTAATATTGTTACTAAAAAACATATATGATCGAAGTAGTGAAATATTTGGTTTCATACATTATTTTATTGACATATCAAAGCATATATGTGATGATTCTTATGTTTATTCATGAGGTATCTTCAATCCTTGTCCTTTTAAAACCGCATACATTGTGTTTTAGATCAAAATATAGATAAAACAATTATTGGATTAGGTGTCTAAGCCAATAACTAAATTGGTATATACTTAAATTATTAACAAAGTCCTTTGGGTTGCCCTCAAAACTAGTAATTGAATAGGATAACTTTTAGAAAGAGAGACTGATTTATTGATTTATTATATGATTAATAAATAGCAATAAATGATTTATTAATATATTATGAAAATAATTTATTAATTAAAATAATATTATTTAATTAAGAATTAATCAAAATTTAATTAGAATTAATTTTTAGATTTATTGGATTAATTAAAAGTAGAAGGACTAAAGGTGACAATCTTCAAAAGTTGAACATTGAGCAATTCTAGAACCTTCCTAGGCGGGGGACGAATTCTAGAAAGTCTTATAGGCTTTTCCTTGGGCATTAAGCAGTCTTGGATACCTCAAGGGGGAAGAAAAAGGGATAAAGGCTTATCTTAGGAAACTGTCTTATCCAATACCTTCCTAGTCACTATATAAACCCTTAAAGATTTAGATTTTCAGATTCATGACTTCAAGAGCCTCAAATTCAAATGTTACCTCCTATCTTGCCCCATTTCTTTCCTCGCTCCCTCCAAACGTTTCCCCTCGAATTTCCATTCATTGAACCTAAATTTTCTTATTATTTAGGGTTATTTCACTGATCCTTCAAGTTTCGGAGAGCCCATAAAATAGAAGCTTTCGGTTTCGGATTTCTGCCTACGAAATTCCGATTTTCACTAAAAACTCTATATTAGTTAGGATACACTTACTACGATTAAATTGTAACTTGTATTTATATTCATAATCGTTGTTATGAATGTATATATAAGATTTATCAATAATTCCAGTTATGATGCTGATTGATCTACTTATGAGAGTGGTGTCTATAATGGTCATGTTGGCTTGGTTGTTGGATTTTAGAAAGGCTATACGACAAAATGGTTCTGCCTCCCAACTGCCCGGTCTGGCTAAGCCTTAAATAATAAAACTCTCGGTATTCAATGGGATTAGTGAAAGATCTAGCTTTCATTACCAGATTGTCATAAGGATTAATGAGTAATAGTATTATAGGTTAATAAATATAAAGGTCGTTACCATCCAGTTTGGTTGCCAGTAGGATCACCCCGATAGCTATCAGTAGTTGGAGTAATTGTCAAGGTGACTTATCTCACTATATTATGTATTACAATAAATGTTAATGTATGTTAAGATAGAGAACTAGTAGAATATATAGAATAGTCTCTATGTGCTTTAGTTTAAATTAGTAGAAAGTATAAATATGTGTGCTTAATCTAAAGTGTAGTCTTTATATGTCTAATAATTGTAACATTAAAGTCAGTTAGATGGTTGATGGCGGAACGACCAAAGTACGGGAGGTTATAGACCCACATATATTTAGTTAGGGTTGACCGTAGAATGACCAAAGTACGGGAGCCTATAGACCTGCATAGATTTATTCAGGGTTTATGGTGGAACAACCAAAGTATGGGAGCCTATAGACCCATATAGAGTTAGTTAGGGTTGATGGCGGAACAAACAAAGTACGAGAGCCTATAGACCCATGTAGATTTAGTTAGGATTGATGGTATAACGACAAAAATATGTGAGCCATTGTTTGTATACATGTATATGTATTGTGGTATATGGTATTTTAGGGAACTCACTACGCCTCGTGCTTACCCAGTTGAATAAAAATGTTTTTCATGTACTTCGGTGGTTCATGAGATGGGTAGGTGTGAGTGTACATACGCACATTCGCAACATGTTTCCGCATAATGTAGTCATACTCTAATATATTTTAATAAATAAAAATTAAAATTTTGTATTGAAAATCGGGACGTTACAAGTTGGTATCAGATCCATAGTTTGAGAGAATTAGATTAACATTCATGTGATTCCAGACTCAAAATGACGATATGAATATTTTAAACAAATCTTTTTAAGAAAAAAGAACTTTATGCGATGCATACAGTCAGCCAAAGTTGAGAAAGGAAAGTGATTCCAAAAAAATATCCATATTGTTATACTTGTTGATATGTAATATGTTAGAAATGCGTGCTAGTATGTAGGCTAGAGATCATTTTAGGAATTTCTGAATAGAATTACCTGATACTTATGATGCCTTATAGCCTATGAAAATCTCTTGTTACTTGCTGCTTAGTGTTGAATTAGTATCTAAGCCCGTAACTATATTTGGTATGTACTTGACCCGGTCGTGTATGGTCCCTTTGGGTTGCCTTCACCAAAGCAACTTTATAGGATGATTTATGGAGAAAGAGGATTAATTATGATTTATTAATATATTATAAGAATAATATATTAAAGGAGAAATCATATTGTTTAAGTAATATTAGTCAAGAATTAATTAAGAACTAGTTTTGAGACTAAAAGACATTAACTAAACTTAGGGAACTGGAATTGTAATTATAAGATAATGACAATTGGGCTATGGATCACCTTGTAACATAGGTTGGACGAATTCTATGGGAAGCCCATAAAGAATTCATCCAAGGGGTGTTCTAAAGGGAGTCCATGGGCTGCTTGGAGCCTAAGCAGTCAAATTAGGGTTTCCTTGTTTGATAAATCTAATGGCCTCACTATATAAATACCCCTATGGCCCCAAAAACGTGGTGAACTCTTTTGTAATAACCCTAAGACGTTTTTGGTGCTCCTCCTCCTTCTCATTAGTCATTCTCTTGCTCTTGGTGTTTGTAAACCATTAGTGGAGTGACATTTGTGACTCTAAGCTCCAAGGAAAGAAGATTGAAGAGCTTCAAGCCATTCTACAAGAAGTAATCATCTAGATTTGTTCTTACATGTCAATTTCGAAATGCATATGCTAGATTAGGGTTCTTGAGCCTTGGATGAATTGCATGTAGGGATGTCAATGGGGGAAAACGGGACGGGGAATGCATCTCCCGCCCCCGCCCCTGAAATTTCCTTGTTCCCCCGTCCGTGCCCCCGCCTTCGAAATGTTCAACCTTCTTACCCTTGCCCCCGCCCCCGAATCCCCTTTATTACCCCCGACCCCGACCCCGTTCCCCTGCCCCTGATTTATTTTGGGCTGACTTTTTTTTGGCTAAAAGAAGTTGTTATTTATGATAAGAGAAGCTAATTTTTAGGTAACAAATAATTATTTATAGTTGAACTTTACATGTTAAAAATAAAAAAAGTTATGGCATCTTAAAAACATTATACTAAAAATTTAAAAACATGTTTTTTTGATGAATTTTGGAAGCTCAAAATCATGTTATAGTTTATTATATTTATATAATTAATATATGTAAATATATGTGTAATTTATTAACGGAGTCCCCATAGGGGTTTCGGGACGTGATTTCCTATCCCCGCCCCGCCCCCGAAATTAAAACGGGGGTTAACCTTGCCCCCACCCCGTCCCCACCCCCGTTTTTTTTTAAAACATTTCTCCCAAACAGGACTGGGCCCCCATGGGAACGGGGTTCCACGAGACTTTTTGATATCCCTAATTGCATGTACAATAGAGAAACCTAGATCCAAGCATTAGGGTTTGCATGAGTACATATGATGTTCTTTTGTATGAAACCCATCAGTGGTATCAGAGCCTTGATTGGTTTTTGTTGTATTTGATGTTTACATGTTCATCCATTGCTTGAAAATTTGATTTTTGCCCTCTGCCCAACTGAACTCGGTGAGTCATTTGCTGGACTCAGCGAGTCAGCCCAACTGAACTTGGTGAGTCATTTGCTGGACTCGGTGAAAATCGGGATTTTGCTATTTTTTGTTGAAGGATAATTACCAAAAACGTTTTTCATCAATAAAATCTGAATTTTATCAATATTTGGTGATTATACTTACAAAAATAGAAGATAATTGTCAAAATTAAGATAATCATTTGTTTTATAAGATAAATATTGATTATTTGTAATTTTGTTTTGAATTATCTAGTAAGAAATTGAATTAGATCAAATTCAGATAAATACCAATTATTTTATTAATTATAATTATTTGTAATTTGATCTTGATAGTTTTAAAAAGTTTCAAAATTTGCCCTCAAATTTTGGAATTTAAATTTTTTATTAAAAGTTTAATTTTGAAATATTGAAATTCTAAACCCTAATGATTTGAAATGTTTCAAAAACTTGCCCTCAATTTTTGGAATTTAATTTTTAATTAAAATTTGAATTTTAAAATGTTAAATTCTAAAACCCTAATTTTGTGGAAAAGTTCAAATTACACCCTTATGGTTTTGTTAAATTAATTAAATGTATTATTAAAATAGAGTTAATAAATCCATAATGATATGGTTTACATTTAATTAAATTAAAAGTGTAGTTTGTTAAATTAGACCACATAGTATTTTAAAAGTGTAAAGTACACCCTTATACTATATATAAAATTAAAGGTCTGATATTATATATGTATAACTTAAATGTCAGTCGTACCGTTAGTAGGTCTCATTCATGAAGCTGATCTATAAGGGGTGTTTAAGGAAGTGGCATGTAAAATGACCGTTATTGGGTATCCACTCTTACCCACCGCACTCTTGACTAGTGGAGGGTCGTTAGCCGAACAGGCAGGATAGGGCAAACCATTTCCATTAAAAGTATAATGAACTATAAAGTAACTAAATGTTTTTTACAAAATTCTCAATCTTAGTTACTTCAGGCAAAAGTAATTTGATGCAATTCCATGAAATTACACTTTGTACCCATGCTAAGACGTTAGTGGAGAGTGTGTGGTTAACCGGTACACTAAATGGGTTCTAAGCAAAGGTAGCGAAGGGTGACTCGATGTTTGTCATAGTTCGGTAGAGCGTGCGTGGTTAACCGGCACATCGAATAGATGACTGTAACATTGGGGGCACCATGTAAGTTTGCATGGTTATTCACAC